AATTTTATTTTATTGTTAAGGCTCAAATTACCTTAGTTTCTCCGAATATAATCGTACTCGCTTGATCTTCTATCAATGATGAAACTTTTCATTTACATGAATCAAAGGATCTTCAGAACTGGAGAATTCATAAGCTAACGGTGCATCATGATTAATTTCGTTAATTTGTAAAGTTATTGTTCTTAAGTTGAAGTTCAAAATTTAGTATTTACTTAAGTTCATAATTAAATAAAATATTTATTAATCGTAGAAAACTCGGCCGCAAAGATTTTCCGATACACCGCTGTATAAAATATACTGGCTTTCGATAAATAAGGGGATACAAGCATAATTGTCACATTAAAGTACAGATTACAAATTTTATTCCCGTGAATTTATTTTTAACACATTTATTTTTCATCCTTCTTTTTATATAAACACGCGAGGGATCATTCGGTCCCTTGCAAAACGAGACACGTTGACGTTTACTTTTAATGCTATATTTATCATTATTATTTTTTTTTTATCCAACTAAAAATACTAAAATATTTTGGCCGCCACGTAAGAGGCTGTTAATACTTCGTTACTTGGCTGCTGTAAAAGAGGATTACAACTCAATGAATATTGCGAGATCATCATCTTCTAGAACATTCCCAGTTTTCGATACTGAAATTCCATGATCCATCCAACGTCTTTCGAGGCATCACCAGAGTGTTTCCGCGTAAGTGTGACAAAAAACACACACACACACACATACACACACAGGGAAAGTTAAGTTAAGTTGTATAGTTACGTAAGCGAATTTCTTTTTTCCTCTCGCTGGCCGACTGACTTACTGACTGATCACGCGTTGAAAAATTCTCGATCTCGCGCTCCTCGATGTTCGACTAATCCGAAATAATGGCTCGCGCTGGCACCACGTCAAACGGGTCCGTCGAAGCCGCGGTTATTCAGCAAGAAGTTGTTGTCGAGTTTAGCAACTTGCCGATTTGCAGTCTCTCTTTCTCTCTCTCTTCAGGCCATTGCTGCGATGTGTACATTTGCTTGAAAAAAAAGTCTGCTCGCAACTTCGCTTTGCGATTAATTGCAATTTCGTTTCGGAAACGAGTGCCCTTCGATCGCGGAAGGGAGATTTCGCATTGTCGCGTTAATTAATGAGAATCGACAGAGTACCACAGTTTTGTCCCCTTGGAAAAAAAAAAAAAAAAAAGAATCGTTTCAGTTCTCACACACACACACGGTAGTTCACGCATCGAATTGGTTTGAATTCGTGCGTCGATAAGGTAGGCTCGAAGTGTTGATCGATCGATCCGCACTGACACGCGTCACGACGATCGATCGATCGATCGATCGAAACGACCGGAGATCGGGCGTCGTGGCGCATTCACGTAAGTACACCGTACATTTCTACAAAATGATTGAGAAATTGACATAAAAGATTGAGAGAGAAAAAAAAAAAAGAAAAGATACAGTAGAGAAAAAGATGACCTCTCCGAGCGTGTTAGTGAAAAGAATAATACGCGACGAGCGCATTCGAAAGAGGCTGTCCGACTATCATTCTTCTTCCTTTTCTTATTTTTTACATTTCATTTATTAATTGCTTTGCCTCGCGTATCAACTCGGCTCTCGATTTGATATTTACAAACGAAGAAAGTAATGCTCTGTTTTAATATCTACGTATACATATATATATATATATATATTTGAATGTCTACGTGTACGTTCGATACAAAAAAGCTCGAGACAGCTCTTTCGATACAGTATACAAAGTAACTAACTTTAACATAAATATATATACATATATATAAGTCTAGGCAAAAAAAAAAAAAACTAAGCAAAAAAAAGTAATTTAAAAGGAGATATTTCTCTGTCTTTAAAAGAAAAAAAAAAA